TGCACACTTCATTAACTCTGCTGCTGTCCAAACAAGCCTGAGGGGTGCCAAGCAGATGACAGTCCCTTCAGCCTGCGGTGTCTGGACCACACAGAGCTGTACCTGCCTCAGGGTTTGGTGAACACTGACCTCAGAGACACGAAGGGTGCACTTGCCTGACACTGCCTGGCTGCCCGGCCTGCCCCAGGCTACAGCCGCAGCTACACGCAAAGTCTTTTTCTGCAGTAACTGCGAGGCAGGCTGGTGAATTCTTCCTCTCCTTTGGCCAACAAGACCACACCAGTAACCACACTGGTGAAGAAAGGCAACGCCGCAAGCAAACCTTTCGGCTCTGAGAAGTTATTTCCTTCTAGGAGCCTGCTGAAGTTATGCTGCTGAAGGCCCCCCCCAGCAGCACGAGCTGTGCCTCTCTCAGGGAGGAGAGCTTGCTGGCATCGTGCTACTGCTACAGCACTGCTGCGAACCCTTCTGCACTTCACTGCAGGCCAGCAAGACACATCCATCATCACCCACAAGTCCCTGACAGGGAACAACTACCACCACCACCCTCTCTCCAGCTGCCTTCTCAGAACTGAGGAGGCAGCCCCTCTTCTGTGGAGACTTTCTTCTTTGACGACATCAGACTGCAGCAATACGTCACACGCTTCCTTCCACCCCAGGAGCACAAAAGGAGGTCTCCTTTCTTGGTATTGTTTTCGCTTGGCTAGACAGCAGAGCATTTCTGCAACCCCAGTTTGGGGCTCTTCGGCATTCACAGTTAAGGATGCAAATGCAAGCAGTCGTTTCCTCATTTTCCTCTCCTTGCCAGAAGTTTCCTAGAGGTCAAGTAGGAAGAAGGTGGTACAAAGTCACTAGTTTAAATTTTTCTCTATTGAGAAACCAGAATCTGCATTTTTAGGCACTGCTGGCACACAGTTTCTGGCCCTCAAGCAGGAGGAGCCACTCTGCATCAAGCCCAATCTCAGCTTTCTGCAACAGGGCGATTTTCTGCTAGGAAGGAACAACTGGGGCAACAACCAAAAAAAGTCCACCTCAGCTGCAGAAGAAAGAGCGGGAAGGCTGGGAGGGGATATATGAGCAGTTAAGCTAAAAGAAAGGCAGTGCAGTGCATGTTTGATAGCAAGCGCTGTGCTCCAGGCTTCTGCTGTGAACCAGCAACGAGAAACATCTTTCCTGATCACCAGTCTTGGGAGCAAGAGTTTGGCTATTTGGGGGTGTTGAGGAGGGCTACATTCACATCTCTAGGATCCTCCTTGGCACCCAGCTGGAAAGGCTCGGTCAGACTTAAGCCAGGTCTGGCAGCTGGAACTGTGTGAAAAATAAGTTATTTTCTTTCTGCATCCTACACTCCCAGGGGCTTTGACCACATCCTGAGATGAGAGCGCGATCTTCACCCAAACTCAGGCCATGAAGTGAGCCCGGTGAAGCTCTCAAGCACTTGTTTTTTCCCCTCTTCATGTGTTGGCTAATGGTTTTCCACTGCAAACCTACAAGTGGAAGCTAGAAGCATTAGAAGCTCCCAAGTAGCAACTTTCAGTACACTGCACAGTTCCTACTGGATTAAGAATGTAGGATGCAATTCTTGCTATTGAGGATGTGACAGATGACATCTCATTCCTTCCCTTCTGTCGTTCCATACAATACTCTGGGGTGAATGTAACAAGTTCTAGGCCTAAGCTGCAGCAAGAGGCACAGGACTGCAGAAAAAGCCTTCAGTGGTGAAGACCGCTGAACAGCACAAGTTGCCTAAGATAACTCTGAAAGCTTCCTTTGTAAGTTTTTCAGCTAACATCTGTCGGGAACAGTTTTGGTCAAGCTCAGCTTGCCATAGACCTGGCAGGTCTTGGGTGGATCTTGGGGCAGAAGATAAACCCTTCCAAATTACTTTCAGTGCTACTTTGAGCTGCTGCTTTGAAATTCAGCAATCTTACTCATTTTAGAGGGCTGATTACTGTAGCAAAGACAGACGTATGTCATGTCACGCTGAAAGCCACCAGCCTAACAGCAATACATATCAGTACCATCACCCTGCTCTCAGGGCGGGTCTCCAAGAGATTCAGAGTCCAGCTGGCTGCTGGTTACTAGTGGCACCCAATGCTGGGACCAACACTTAGGAGTCAGTACTGGGGCTTCTTATGCTTTAATATCTTTGCTACTGACCTGGATGATAGGATGGAGCATATGGGCAGCAAGTCTGCAGATGACGCCAAATTGGGAGGAGTGGTTCAGACAGTGAAGGGCAGAGCTGCTATTCAGAGGGACCTGGACAGGCTGGAGAAATAGGCTGAGAGGAACCTCAGGAAGTTCAATGGCAAATGCACAGCCCTGCCGCTGGGGTGGAGTAACCCCCTGCAGCAGAACAGGCTGGAGACAGCAGGCAAGAAAGCAGCTTTGCATGAAAGGACCTGGAAGTGTGGGTGGGCAAGCAACCCGGCAGTCAGCAGTGCACCTGTGCAGCAAAGGCCAACCACTAAGAGGAGCGCAGCCAGCAGCGTGTGGGGAGGGATCCTGCATCTCTGCTCAGCACCCGTGAGACCGTCTGGAGAGCTGGGTCCAGTTTGGGTTCCCCAGCACGAGGACAGTGACATACCAGAGCAAGTTCAGTGGAGGCTATCAAGATGGTTTGGGCTGGAGCACACAACGTATAAGGAGAAGCTGAGAGAGCTGGGTTTGTTCAGCCTGGAGAGAAGGCAAAAGGGAGATCTTACCCTTATCTGCTACTCTCTGATGGGGAGCCACAAAGACACACGGGTAAAGCTGAAAGGCAACAGGCACAGGCACAACGTGAGAAATTCTGATGAGATGCAAGGAAAGCCTTCACTGTCAGCATGGTCACACACTGGAATAGGAAATGCCACCACTTCTCTGGTCCATCTCTGGAGACAGACAACCTGCTCTAACTTTGGACTTAGCCCTTCTTTCAATAGGGGGTGGACAAAGCAGCCTCCAGACGTCCTTTCCAGCTAAATTACCCCAGAAATCTATGAAGCATCGCTTCTCACGAGACCTCACACTTTGTGGGAAAGTGCTTTGAGAACATGTGCCTTTCAGTTTTCCGATCTGTGAAATGGGGCTGACAGGATTTCCTTATTCGAGCCTTTGTTGTCTAGCAGGTGTCCCAAATAACCCACTTTTTTCAGTGTGGAATAGATGATTCAGCTCTTCAGAACATGAGGCTCTGTCTGCAGAGCCTTCCCCCCAGCACATGCAAACAGAAGAGGAGAGGCACTTCTTGTGCCATACTTAGCATTTTGTTTCAGAACTCACTTGTGATGCTGTCAGAGGCTGCATGCTTTCTTCAGATCTGAAATCCTCAGAGCCGCCCCACAGTTTCTAGCAAACAAACTTAAGGGTTTCATTTTACACCAGAGCATAACAATTACCTGGGAAATCCCCCTCCCACACCCCAGAGTCCATACTTTAGGTGACTTGATGATCTCACCACATACAGTTACTCCGTTCAACGTTGCTTTTAAAAACTGTCATGTAAAAGCCACCGGGGTCAACTTTTAAGCTAAGGCTCACTCTGAGCAGCTATGTATGCTTAAATACAGAAAAAAACGGCAGTTGAAAGGGACCAGAAGAAATCTTCCATCTCCTCTCTCCCGCTCCCCTCTTAACCACACACTGCCAGACCTTAAGAGACATGACCTACCAAGTACAACTGCTCTCATCCTGCCAGGCCCTGCTGTAGTTCTCTGCTGTTGCCTTTCCCAGCTTCTTTATAATCCTAAAATGGTCTTCTCATGATGACAGCCACTGACATCTGCACGAGCACTGCCTCTTGCAGTGCCTAACTCCACAGCACATCGCACTAGGGGATGCAGGAAAGCCAGGAACACAGTGACAGCTGCACAGCCCCTTGCTACAACTCTGGTCCAATATGAACAGTCATGGGGGTCAAGAAAGGAAGTTGTAAAAAAGGTAACGGGGAGGAAACACTGGGGACCTGCACCCTCTTCAGTCCTGGGGGCACACTGGAAAAGGAAACTGCATGGGAAAGGGGAAAGATGACAGCTCCCCTATCCAAATACTTCCTAAACAGAGGAAAACTAGAATGGAGGGGAACCATGAGCTTCCCCTTTCATATTCCTCCAGAGGAAGCTGTTTCAATTCCACTCTCTGGAGACGCAATAAGCCAAGTCATCCTTCAGCAGGTACCTCCACAGGTGTGGTAAAAAACAGGTAATATAGTAATTAAGACATTTTAATAGAATTCTCACGTCATAACAAGCCTGTTCCCTTCAGCATCTGAGGAGCACACAGCTGACTCAGGAAGACAGTGGCGTACCTGAAACACAGCAGGTGGAATTTCCCCTTTTACACACAGTGATCTCCCCATGTGGAGAGGTGTGGCTGCCTATTTTTACGATTGCATCTTGTGCATGCTGCAAATCCAAGCAGTCTGCAATACTAAGACAGTGAATTGGTATATATATTCGGGAGTTGCTGTCCCACCTCAGGGACGGTCAAGCTGCCTGCTGGGATGGCTGTATCGTTAGCTGTACTGACAGGCACAGAGGTTGCCTCTTGTCATAGGTCCAACAACTCCTAGAACATCCGATCACAACTATGACAAGACAGGGGTGAGTCAAGGACTAGGCCGATAGGAAAACATTACTCACAACCCTGATTTTATTGCATATTTGGGTAACTGGTGAGAGATTCCTACAACAGTGTGCACCTTCATGTTTTGTGATGCTAAACAGTTCAAAAGACAGGCTAGAAAGGACCTTTCCTTTTTTGCCTTGTTTTCTCAGAGTTTCCCATCAGAAGTTCCCCTGCTAGAAGAGGAACAACGTCAGCTTACAGAATTGCTCATCTTCACCTCGCAAGAGCCCACCCCGTTTCCAGTTAAATGAATGGAAAAGGATCCCACCAACTGCAACAGAATTTGGACAAGGCCCCTGGAGACTGAGCTCAGAAGGGAAACTACCGAGAGGGGAGGGCGAGGAGGCAGATTCCCCATGCTCACAAAAGAAAACACAAATACACCTTATTTAAAACGAACTCTTTCCACCCTCACATTTATTTTTCCTAAAAAACAGTCTTTGCAAACAAATCTCTTGTTTCTCCTTTCCAGTTCAGTGGGATTGCTGCAGGCACTCCATGGCACATGACTCTGGGGAAGCAGAGAAAGTGTACCGCAACTTAGTCATATTTCCATAGGAAAAGTTGACTCATAACTTACATCATCCTTGAAATGCTGACACAGGTTTGTAAGAAGCATGTGAATGTCAAGTCCAAGGAACAGCACTGTAGCCATCTGAGACCTGACACGGCTGTGTAGCTCTAGCAGAGTAGAAGGCCCTCCTTTGCCGCCAGGCGCTGGCGATGGATTTTATCCTGCTGTAGCTCCTCGTGGTTTGGATGCCAGAGTTTCATGACAATTCTCTCAATGTTTAGAGCATAGACAGTGTGCGCAGGAATAACTTCTTTGTGCACCTGGAGATACATGTTAGAAAACAAGTTTCATGCTTTCATACACATTTCCCCATATGGCCCATGAAAGAGCCTCCCTCTACTAC